ACTCTTGGATGATCATGTTATAATTTGGACATTTAAAATCTCAATACTCATCTAAAACGGCTTAATAAAACAAACAAATCTGCTGAGTTCCACTTTAGAAAATTGCGGTGTCCAGTGGAAGCTGACGTTGCTGTAAACATCATCACAAGAAAGAGTTGATACCAAAATAACTACGCAATGCTGCTGAATCATATGTGTATCACAGATTAAGAAAATTAAATTGGAGAATGAAGTTAATACAGAGCAGTAGGTGTATGCCGGTGAAAATAGGGGTTGACAATAAGTGATTACAATTTTTTTTATATAGCACTTTTCCACCTTCAAGGCACTAAAAGTATTTTGCCCAAGAACATAACAACAGCATTCATCTGTGGGAGCTGGAATCGCACCAGACAACCTGTGGGTCAGTGGATTTGACCAATCAACCAAGAGAGTGGGATTCGATCCACCAACCTTCAGATCAGCAAACAAACGCTCTACCAACTGAGCTACTGTCACCCCTTAAAGAGTGCTCAAACATGCATGAATCACTCAAATAGAACTTGGTAAATGGTGAGGGGAAACAACTATAACATGGTGAAAAGCTCTCATGAACTTAATGCACAGAGGTTTTATTAACAGTGCCTATTTATCTCACCATTTATTTCACATTAACTTACTTTATATTTTCATAAAACTTCATTTTAAAAAGCTAGACACTTACGTCTGAATGAAAGAAATTGTGTATTACTGTGGACTGGGTCATGGTCATGTGTGGTCATTAATGTTAAATTATGATGTTTTTTCACAATAATCAGAATGCTAAAATTTGATATTGGAACATTGCTAGTCTTAGTTCAATGTCATGGAAGAAAATGCTAAAGATGCAGCCAGTCGTACATGATTTCGCCTTCATGTGAATCGATTTCCTGTCTTGTTTCAAAGGCAAACATTGACATTTACATTGGTGACCTATACGTGTGTGTTCTTACTGCCTTAACCTTTTAACAGAACAACACCTTTTCACTCTGACTGTATGGCATAAAGGGCTACCTGTGCAAACGCATATATACCAATACACCCTGCTATGGGGAAATAATTGTTGTCACTCGAAATGGCTTTAAAGGGGCACTGTGCAACTTTTCTGGATGGGGTTCTGTCACCTGCTTGCCTCCATGGAGATGCTACTGCATTGCCTGCAATGTTCCACAGCATGGCATTAAATGTATCTTGCATATTCACTCTTTTTATGGCAAAATTTTAAAACTTTTCCATGACTTTTTCATGACCTAAAGTGAATTTTCCATGACTTCACGGCATTCCCATGACCGTCATTCCCATGACCGTCATTCCCATGACCGTCATTCCCATGACCATGGGAACCCTGATATAGTCAGTTAAAGGTATTCTTATCTTATAATATAAATGAATGCATTTATCAAATCAACTATCTCGCTGCCTCACAGATCTGACGTGTAACTTGGCCTAGTGATATCATGTGATGCCACCTGCTTGTCTCAGTGGAGATGAATAAGTATAATGCCATGTTAGGTAAACAAATAACATCTTCATGGAGACAAGCATCCACCAGAAAAGTTACATAGTCCACCTTTAGGCTGGTTACAAAGTTAAAACTTCCTTTTAGAACTGCCCATAGAGTTGTACAGACTTACACCCTCCATCTGAAATTATAACATTAAATTGTAAAATGTCATGAACCAAAATGTAAGTCTATTACAGATTCCTAATTTAGATCAATACTTATATTATTCAATACTGTGCATTTTATGGGAAAGAAATTAGTCGATAATTAATGTAAAACACCACTTCAACTTTAACTGCTGCAGGAGTCGATAAGTGTGACCTGTCTTGATTTAATGCATGTTGTAATTTCATAAGATTTCATTTGGGACAGATAGGATCATATTTATCCTTGTCCTCTCCTCTCGCAATCTGTTTTATCTTCCATACTTATTTTTAACAGCTCCGTCCTTGGTTCGTCTTTTTCAAGTTACTTTCAGAGTTAAATACAATTCTTTTCCTCCTTCCCCCTCTTCCTACCTCACATGTTTTACGTCTTCTTTCCTTTATCATGCCAGTCTGACAGTTGAAGTCATTTGCGGCGGGCTAATCTGACCGGAACACGCTAAACTAATTAACATGGGGATGAAGCGTGCTCACTTATCATGGCACCATATGTACATATATCACCACCTACGCAGTAAATGGAAGAAGCAACTCTCTCAGGATAATAAGAAGTGATTGGTATTACTTCAGACGAGGAAGTAGGGAAGGAGGCCAGATATAAAAGGAAAGGGAGAGGAGGAGGTGGGAGAAATATGGCGTACGCTGAGTTATTTCTGTGCCACGCTCACTCAACTGGGGTTTGCTTGGTCTAATATTAACATATGGCTGCACCCGTGGGCAAAGCTCCATCTGAAAAGTGTATGTTTGCATGTGATTATTGGGCTATGACGGCTCCAAATGACACACTTTACTAGCCAGGACAAAATAAACATTTGCAATTTATAGAAGAGCATTGACTCAGCACTACAGACTGTCTGCATTTAAGTGACTGGATGAATATTCAAAGGGAGAGAATACATTGCACCAAGAAAATTCAGTAGATACTTATAACTATATAGAGCAACTATATACTATATAGAGCAGGAGTCATTAAACTAAGGCCCACGGGCTGACACTGGACTGCCACGCCCCTTTGACCGGCCCTGGAGCCCCTCTGCCCCCTACCACTTGAACTGGCCCGCAATCCTCAAAAGTTAATTACTTTTTGGCAAATAATAACATGTCCACATCTTGTATTTTGTAGATTTATTTCAATCAATTAATTATTTATATGAAGTATTTATATTTATATTTAAATAATTATATGATGTATTTACATTTGCCACAGAATTTGCAGCAGAATTTTCATCACCTGACAAGCTTGAGATCAAACAGCGACAGTCAAGTACTGTAGTGCAGTTAAAGACAGCAAAATGGCTAGTATTGAAGTACGAAAAATTGACAGAGAGTGCCGAGTTTTCAAAGAACAGTGGACGACCGATTATTTTTTGTTCAGTGTAAGGACTGTGCAGTTTGTCTGATATGTCAAGAAAGTGTGGCAGTTTTCAAATAATATAATCTGCATTGCATACAATTCTATTATACAGCATACCCGACCCATCTACCAGACATCACAGTCAGGAGTGATAATGTGGCTTCCAGAGAAAAAAGTTTGGTGACCTCTGATATAGAGCTTGGTGTGTCTGCACATACACAGACAGGCATGCTTCTCCTTAAAAACATACCTGGAGTTGTGTTTTGTTCACACGTTTGAGTGATCCTTTATTATTACTCTGTCTACATATCGGAAACTCAAAATCCTTTGTTCCTCTGTAGTTTTCAAGTTAACAGTTTCTTTTACCAGTTCAGTAGAAATTCCAGCGCTGAAATTATCCAGATGATTCTAGTGAAGATATATGGAGTTTAAAAACAACTCTGTACACACACTTCCGGTATGTTTGGGTGTTTGAGAGAAGATATCAGCTTATATATGCAGGGTTTGTGCGTTAAATATGTTTGAATGAAACAAAACACGACTCCCAGTATGTTTGTGATGTCAGACAATAGCCTAATATGGGCCCTTTAAGGAAAAAACACTTCTGAACTATACCATATTATGTTTACTTTGAATTTACCTAAAATAAAGTTATTCTAAGTTTATGTATAAATAGCTCTCTAAGTTTGTGAAATGTGTACATGTATTCTTGTATTTCTAGGTTTCTCCACTAGTGCATGACTGCTTGCCTCAGCTGCTAATATCAAACCTGTTACGGTTAATTATAAGAAGCATATTTGCTGGCTGTGTGTTTCCTGTCATCACAGCTAATTTGTGCCACAGCCCGTCAAACCTTAATGGCATAACATGGGAATAGCACCTACTTAATTGGATTGTGTGTAAGGTTCGCAGCTATTTCTCCATCAGTCATTCATGTGAAATTGACACCAGTCTGCTATTGGCAACGCATTTAAAATTCTGAATTATGCAGCGGTGTGTGGTGGTGTGTGCTGTGTAGGTGCCATGCTGAGAACAGGGGATCGATAGAAGGACAGATGGACCATGTCAATTAGAAGCTTCTTTAACCTCTTTTTCATGGATGTAACCTTCATCCAAAATCTATTGTGCTCTCAAGTTAGAAATCCATAAACATAAGGAACAAAGAAAGGATCTAAACTGCTATATGCTCTCCCCTGTGTTTTTGCATAAAGACACAATTCCCTGACAGATTACATTTCACAAAAATAAAATCACTAATATGCCAATTGTTTAAAGCCACAGTGCGTAACTTTATAGTAAAAAACTTGACTATTTTTACCTTGTTTGGCCTGCAGGATTCCCCCCTCCTTGCTTGTTTTTTATGGAAATATTGTTCCTTTGGCTGTAATCTTTATATAAAACATATCCATCTCCTTGGTTAATGTTCCAAAGTATGGCATTAACCTTCTATTTCCTTGCAGTCAAGCAGCTGATGTGCCACCTTCAGAAAGTTAACATACTGTACCTTTAATAAGTGCACGGCAAATGTGTGACTATTCATGTATGCATTTAAAGCGTGGGGTTTTTGTGGAGGAGGGTATGCCACATTCATGTCTCCATGGAGATGCTATTGTGCTAGGAATGCTCGACAATATGACATTAAACTTAATTTTCTCCATAGAGACAAGTATGTGACGTAACCAGACCAAGTGATCTGTGAAGAGATAACCCCACTCAGAGTAAAATGCATGTTTTGCAAGGGATACTTGAGCAATAAAAACTGTAATGTCAGATATTTGTGATGTAAAGTGGAATTATAAAATGTAATTTCCCCAAAGTGAAGTTACTGGAATGAAGCAACATCAATGAATAGTAAACTTTTGAATCAGTTTTCACCATGTTGGATCGTGATATGCAGCTGGTTTCATTGGTGTTCCGTATAAAAAGAGCTCATTTGTGGCCATGATAAATTTGGGCTCACCTCGACACAGGTTTCCATTGTCTGGCTCGTATCCCGCCTTACAGCTGCAGCTGCCAATGGGGACCATCCACTCTCCATCTCCATTACAGTACAGCTTTATGGGCACGTCCACTTCCTCTGCGTTGGGGATACAACTTCCTCTGGCGATGACTAACGAGGTGGACTCAGCTCCGGTGAGAGTCTGTGAAAAACAGACAGCAGACATTTGCATATTGAGTAATGGTGAGTCTGCATGATTTACTACGCAGGACTGTCAATGATTTGGACAAAACTGATTAGGCTAGGATCCTCATTCTATTAAAGAAGACATATTGTGCATTTGTCTGCTTAGAATTTATGAGACCCCAGGAACACAATTTAAAATTTTTGACATTTAAATTGCACTCCTGATCTAAAATGGCTAAATGAAAGAAACACATACACCGACTTTCGGTTGAAAATTGATGTTAATTTCCTATTGTCCCTTTACAGTGTGTCTCCATAAACAACAGCAAAAGAACATCCCTTATGGTGCTGCTGGGTCCACCTTAGGATAGTTAGTTTTCATTATATATGCACAACATACACACATGTTAAACACACAAATACTATATTTAGGCACAGTTCTTGTCTCAGCCTGCATTCTAAAAAGAATCCGTTGTGATGTCATGTAGTAATACAGGAAGTGTTCTACTGTGTTTTTAAACTCCATACACCTTCACTAGAATCATATGGATAGTTTCAGCCCTGGAATATCCAATCTCGACTGACTAAATGTAAAAGGTATCTTTTACCTTGAAAACTACTGCTTCATGACATCACAAGGTGGAACAGAACATTTTGAGCTTTAGAGATGTAGACAGATGAATAATAAAGGATTACTCAAACATGTGTGAATGAAACAAAACACTGGGTATGTTTTTGAGGTGGACACTCCATTATAACATGTCTTAAAGCTCACAAGAATCCTTTTTTTTTTTATATAGGACCTTTAAGTCTTACAGGAGAATAAAGATTACTTAAACATGGCATTAATTACTCAAAATGCAACTATAATTGGGTAAATGAGAAGCTAAAACAATTATAAAATTTTGAATGGGCTCTTAAATATGCATAATGTGTCCCTTTTAAACAACATGATGTGGACGATGTGAACAATAATCTCATTATATTCATTTCATACTTAATGCTTACTACAGTTAAAGTCCAAAGTGTTCTGCTCAGTAACCTTGAATGACGAATGCAACTCTGTTTTATGATACAAACTACAAAAGCTCCAGGAGATTCCCAGGGTAAAACTATCAGCTAAAGATAACGTTTATAATTGGACAATACAAAAGCTTTGGTTAGACTCTCAGAAACTCTGCTAGACGCTTGTAAACTCTGATGTTTTTTGCCTGTGTGTCACCCTTGTGCTGAGAATCCGTGCTGTAACATCATTAAAGGTACTGTAGAATGATCTCCGTGCCTCTGCGTCTGTTTTTTTTTTTCTTTTTGGAAGATACAACAGAAATTAGCAACGACTATATATGTCTATAAAATAGAACATTAAACAGCAGATTAAAACATGGTGTCACGGGCTCTAAAGACTGAACCAGCACAGTGAATTTTAAATGGCATTTTGCAGGTGTGATAAACTGAAGCCTGGTGAATATGTTTTTTTTTTTTTTTTACACACACACCACGTGTAGAAAGCAATTACAACTCAATGGCATGTAATTTATGCTAAGTGCAATATGTTTCATCCTCACCTCTGGGAAATAAGCAAAGTTCTGCACCACACTGGGGCATTTCTTATAGAAGACTCGCACCGCCAGCAGTGACATGCAGGCTCCCAGGTCCTGGAAGGCCAAGTGGAAGCCTTTGCCTTTGGAGAGGGGGCCAAAACTTCTGACCTCTGTGTTGACCTTCATCAATCTGCCCCCAAAATCCACCTGGGAGAAGCTCTCATCTGCTGCTATGGTGTCCACCTGCAGACAGATACACATGGGGTTCAGAGTGATGAGAAATTTTGACTGTTGCCATAGCGAAAAACAATTTAAAGTTAAGTATTGTATCTTTTGAATGGGAACAAAAAACTTAAGAAGTTGCAAATAACATGGAGGAAACTGATTTTTATTAGAGTGATGGTCCAGCAGCTAGGTCATGAGTCGGAATACACTAGACAGAATCCCGGAAGTTGTAGACCGTGCACCATCCAATCAGCGAAGAGCTGTGACGTCAAACTCAAGCGCCTGTCTGTGTCCCTTTTGTGGTACAGCACAACAGTAAACAAAGCGGTTGAGATGGATGTAGACAAAGCATTACTTTCTGTGGCTACTTCTGTGGCAGCGATTCCTGAGATCGAGGATATAAAGCTAGAACAAAGAGAATGTTTTGAGTTTTATCGTTATTGCTCTTCTTCCTACGGGATTTGGCACATTACATGCCTCACGACCAAATAGCAGCAATTGGTTAAATAAAAAAGTACCTGCCTAACGTTGAGTGAACAAATTCTAATGCTGCAAGGTCAGACGGTTTCCATGAAGTGAAACCAGCTGATGAATCGGGCTAGGTTGGTCCTAGTTAGGGTTGTCATAAATTATTGATAAAAACAAAGCGATATACCCAGATCTTAAAACTAATATTAAACTTATCAACTGAGCAGGTATTGATACTGGCAAAGCAAGAAAATTGGACTTTTGTGTGACTAGTGTAAGACAACATGATAATGACGTAGAAACTATTATTATTTTGTGTTGAAAATTCTATTACATTCTATTGTGTAAAGAAAGAGTGTTTTTGTATTAAGATTGTGTTATCAAAATTGCTATCACCTTTTCCTTAGTATAGGAATTGATTTGGATTATAAAAAATGTGGTTGACTGAACTCCATTGACCAATTAATCAACTAAATGACTAAAAGATTACAGCCCTTCTATCCACAGTTCAAGTCTGGATGGTGAGTGCCCTTCTTAAACTGTTACCATGGCAATACAATAGACCAAATTAACCCTATTCACTACACCCACTGTGCTCATTAAGGGAGCAGTAATAGCTGTGTACTTGATTTTCTCTACTCCAACTAACGATTATTTTAGTAGTCGATACATTTTTCGATTAGTCTAGTCAAACCTTTATTTCTATTGTAAATTGAGGCTATTTAAATACATTACCAACCAAATAAAGGTTAAAATATGGCAACTAAAGGCCTTAAAATTTAGAATATTTACAATTACAATATATTGTTGCTGAAAACCAGAAATTGTTGTATTCGTTTTTGACATTTGAGATTTAATAATACCACTATCTTTGTTATGGTATTGTTCTGTATGTGTTTTAGAGTCTGTATAACCCTCAGAATGATCCCAATTATGAAAATACAACAGATATTTTTTTTTTATACTCATCTGGTCACAATTATTTTATTTACTGTGGCAGCCCTAGTTTTCTTTTACAATTTTTACCTTGAGGAACAGCGTATGTGTTTTAGAGTCTGTATAATCCTGATAACTATCCCAATAATGAAAATACAACCAGTATCATTAGGGATGCACCACAGACTGTATATATAAATGGAGGGGTATTTTGTGGTCCCTCTCTCTGTAACTGCTCCATAGACCATCATCATTTTGGTCTTAAAATGTTTGTATTAACCCACTCTACATGTTCTTGGTGGACCCTGTCTGGGTCCCTTTTGTGGAACAGCACAACAGTAAACAAAGCATTTGAGATGGATGTAGAAGAAGCCAAACATTCTGTGTTGGCAACGATTCCCGAGGTCGAAGATTTTCACTCTCTGCTTTGTTTGCTGTTGTGCCGGCAATTACTTGAACACCACTGAGCGTTCCAGCGCATTACATGCGTCACGACCAAATAGCAGCAATTGGTTAAAAAAAAAAGTACCCGCCTACCGTTGAGCGAACGAAACCTAATGCTGCGATGTTAGACGGTTTCCACAAAGTGAAACCGGTTCATGAATCAGGCTAAATTCTGATACCATAGGTTTAGGAATCTGCCAATACCTGATATTAATACCAGATACCAGGGCAAAGATTAAATACGGTATTTATTTATTTAACTAAAATGAAATAAGACAAAACAGATCCAAAAGTATTATGTAGCTGTTATTTATTTCTCAAGTAACTGTATAAATAAAAGTTCAAATGTTGTGAGACTTTCTGAGCCCACTATGACCCATTAACAGTCTCATTGCATCATTGTATATGTCCAGCCAGGATATCAACTTACCTGATATATCAATGTTTTTCAGTATTGGCGCTGATACCAGTATTGGATTGGTGCACCTCTAAATATATTTTTTTTATGCTCGACTAGTCACAATTAGTCTATGTACAGTTGCAGCCCTAATTTTCTTGCACATTTTTTTTACCTTGAGGAACGGTGCATTGGCCCAGTACTCCACCCCTTTGACACCTTCGGTCACTGTCCGGTCCGTCTCCAGGTAGTACAGGTTAAAAGTCTCCTTGCAAGACCCAAGCACACTGGGTATGGAAGCACAGTCCCGTACTGTAAACCGAATCTCCACGTAGATCCTCTGGGCTGCCCTTCGATCGATGTAGGTCGTGAGCAGCCAGTTGTTTTGGCTGGGTTCAAAGACATTGCAGACTTGGTACGTCCTAATAGTGTTGAGATTCTCATCATATCCGCTCACCTCCTCCCACTGGAATATAAAAAAAAAAAAAAAAAAAAATAGTAGATGGCATAGGAAATAAATAGACAGAACAGGCTAGCGTGATTAATGGGTTTACCAAGTCCTGACAAATTAAAGGCTCTACCCCTCCTTCTCCTTTCTTTTCATGGCCCCCTCCCTCCTTCCTTTCTTTCTTTCATTCATTTTGTTTCTCTTCCATCTTGTACTCTGCTGTTCGGGGACAACCATTCATCACAATTAGGACCTGTACCTCTCACAAACATAGGGGTTTACTGTAAGGAAGAAAACCAAGCACAAAAACATAGCGAGCTAGCTTTGAAACAGTGCAATGGTTTTCCAAGCTGTTCTTTTGTTTGGTAGCCTGATACATCGGATAACGAATTTTGAAGCACGATTTATTGCTACAGACAAATATTATGATAAATGATAATATTAAAACTATTTTATGCCACTGATTAAGATTTAAATGAAGCAATATAATACCAGTAAACCATTTTTAAAGGTGAACTATGTAACTGGTGGAGGGATCGCCATCTAATCATTTTCATGAATATGCTGTTGCTTTGCTTGGAATTTTCCAAGGCTTTAAATTTATCTGTCTTTGCACTGCATTTATTTCATTATAGGTTCAAAGCCACATTAAAAACACTCATTCTTACAGTGAGCATGGTCACTTCATCACAGATCTGATCTGTAACTTGGTCTAGTGGTAGTGTTACCTGCTTGTTTCCAGTGATAGATAGGTTTAATGCCATTCTGTGTGAGACAAGCTGGTGGCGGACCCTCAACCAGAAAAGTTACATAGTGCACCTTTAAATGGACTATATCATTAAAAGGCCTGAGGTGCAACAAATAAATAGAATGAATCAATAATTAGCCAGAAAAGTGACAAATCTTCTACTAAAATAACACAAATCTCCTTTTTGCAAAGAAATTTACAGATGATAAATATTGAGTCCTAAAATATATAGTTCCAGTATAGTATTAAAATAATATAGTAATTATCGTGACAGGCCTACATCTGATTTCATTTTGTAGAGGTAAATTGTGTCACCTTGCCGTGGTAATTAAGTTTTGACGGACTGGTTAATGGGATGGGTCCAGTGCGCTAACAGCTCTCCCAATAGGAAAACCAGCCCCCATGCGTTGGAAAAACACACCTCTGCACAGTGTTCTTACCCCATTGGCAGGGAACGAGATCCAGCCGAGCTCCGCTGTGGCTGTCCTCGTGTCCATCACCGTCTCTGTGGGGCACAAAGACAAACAGGAACAGGGAAGTGAACAAAAAGCGACGGGATACAGACTGGAACATGCTTAATTAGAAAGTCAACTCAGATTATATTTACAAGAAATGTCCAGTGTATGAAGGAAAGAGTAAACAATCAATTTATGTTTTTTTAACTACACTTAAGGATGCAATAATTAATCAGAATTGGCTGATTGACTATTAAAATAATCATATTTTAATGAACATAATCATTATCTGGACTATACTGACTCAAAATATGCCAAAGACCTGTGTAACAAAGACATCAGAAATATTATTATTATTTTCATTCATAAACAACTTAATCCCTAATCATTCTACATAAAAGCCTTCAACCAATTTTAGGTTACAAATTTTGAAAAAAATAATCCAAATGTATTCAATAGAAGTAAGCATTTGACTAGATGACTACTTGGAAAAATGATTGCTAACTAGTCTACTACTAATAATTGATAGTTGCAGCCATAATTCCATTTTTACTTTGGTTACTGAGCCAAATACTACAAAGATGAGTAGGCGTACAATGAAACCCATTTTTCATGTAAACAGACTTGTTCAAAATAATGGTACCACTGTATTTGCTGTGTAATACTACACCATGTGCAGCCAAATTACGAATCAAATCTATAACATCTAGTCTAATATTTCATAACATACATTTTAGCAAAATGGAACATTAACTGATTTGTATTTTCTTAACCTTAATTTTCATAATCTTAATCCACAGTAATGGTTATTCACATAATTAATTCCCACCTAATAACTATACTTGATTAAAAATAGGAATATATATTAGTATTTATTTCCCAGTCAAGCTAAGACTAAGATTTATGCAGGTATTATTAGTATTGATTTAAAATGCATACAGCAGAGACAGAGTTGGCTCACAGAACAAACATCAACAATGCAATCCATTTATAACACTGCCCTTATACCAACCTATGCTGTGATTATCATTAATTATAAATGAGAAGAAGACTGTATTAACATCCTTTAGTAGGTTATTTAAGAGTTTTAGTTTTAAGATTTGTAACTGTTCATTGTCAGACTCTTGTGTGCCGCCTCGCCCTGTTGTCTGTTGAGCTCCCAAACAACACACATTTTAATACATCAAAATCACATTTTTGCAAATGACCAAACCACTAGACCAAAGATGAATATTTAATAGGCCAGTTAGAAAGCCTTAAGTACCCCATTTAACTGATTGAACATTAGGTCCCACTATTGTTACACACAGTTGACTCATGTGAGCTTTAAGCCATGTTTTAATGTTGCTACCTCTTCAAAAACATACCTGGAGTTTTGTTTTGTTTCATTCAAACATGACTGGGTGACCCTTTATTAGTCTGTCTACATTTCCAAAACTCAAAATGCTTTGTTCCACCTTGTGATGTAATGAAGCAGCAGTTTTCAAGTTAACTGCTCCTTTTACGTTTTGTTCAGTAGGGATTGGAAATTCCAGGGCTGAAATTATCCAAATTATTCTGGGGACATAGTGAAGGTGTATGGAGTTTAAAGACATAGCGGAGCACTTCCTGTATTACCACATGACATCAAAAGGTGGAACAGAGTGTTTTCTGTTTGAGAGAAGAACTGTCTAAATATGCAGTGTTTAGTTTAGTTTTTAGTTTATTTGTTTACTTATCAGGGACAAAGCACATAAAAACATTGAACTACACAAAGAAGTCATATGTTTGTGCTCGGTTATTGCAAAATTGCTCATTCAGTCCCTGGACAGGTTGATGTCATAAATGGTGTACATGCCAATTAAATAAAATACAATGTATACTGATGCAATCATTCATCATGTCAGTCAATAAGTAAAACTAGTCCCATTCAGTCTCACTCATCACATCCATACACTATTTACATATCTACAGTTCATATTGCTGCATTGATACAGGGCAGATTAATGTGGGTCAAAATTAATTTGTGTGAATGAAACAAAACACAACTCCAGGTATGTTTTTGATAAGGAACCAACATTGTAATATAGCTCAGAAAATAGTGTAATATGGGCCCTTTAAGTAACCGATTTAACTGGCTGAACATTATGTCCCACTATTGTTTAAAAGTGCACTATGGAACTTTTTTGTCCACCTATATTTGTCCATAACAATGTTGTTGCTTGGTCTGCAATTTTCCACTATATGATCTTAAATGCAGAAGACATCTCCCCTCAGATATTCCAATATCATTCAGAACAAAATCAATAACTTCATACATAAGAGTTTAGTGCTTCACTTGTTAAAAATCAGCACTGTTTCTTTGTTCTTCTCAATTTTTTTTCTTGTACACCACATTTATTTTGTCAGTAAGAAGGCCCATATTATGCTATATTCTTGTTGTATGCATGTTATCATGTTGTTTCCTCACCAAAAACATACCCAGATTTGTGTTTTGTTTCATTCACATGTTTAACACACACATCCTGCATATTTAAGCTAACACTCTGCTCCACCTTGTGATGTCATGTAGTAAAACAGGAAACACTCCACCTCTACCTTCACTAGAAACATTTGGATGATTTCAGCCCTGGAACTGCCAATCTCTACTGAACTAAAGAAAAAAGTCAGTTTGAACTCAGAAACTACATAACAAAGTGGAACAAAGCATTTTCAGCTTTGGAGATGTAGACAGACAGATAATACCAACCATATGTGAATGAAACAAAACACAACTCCAGGTATGCTTTTTCATGAGGTAAAAACATTGCAACATGGCGTATAGCTCACAAGAATCAATTTTTCTGTTATATAGGACCTTTAAGAACCCATGTGTTTCTCTAATAGGTCAATCTGCCTGTCAATCACGGCCATCGGAAATCTGGTAGCAGTCTTTGTTGAGGTCAGTCAAAGGGTGAGATCTTGGTTAACCAGGCAACTAATGACCTGTCCTCTGCGAGCCCGCGTGTTTTGTGTAACCAAACAAAGCCCTGCTCACCTGAATACCATTTGTCACGTGTTACCGGGTAAAACATCGCCACAATACATAACAAGGCCATCTACCCCCTCCAACCCCGCCCCCACCCCCACACCGCACATGATAACAAAGGTGCTCGCAAATACATGACAGCTCGACAACAGAGCGGTCTGACAGCCAAAGCCCGGACTCTAGTGTTCAATGTACGACGTGTCAGTTTATATTATAGATCTGACCGCGGTAATGGGAAAGAAGTAGCATACGGGGCAGTTTTCAGCGTTTCTGTGTCCACATGTGTACAGCGGCTGCCAGCTTTAATTTCAAATGAGAAATGTAAAGAGGAACAGTGAACAGAGCAAAGGGGAACAAAGGAAGGAGTGATGTTGTGTTATGATGAGATTTGACTTCAAATGTTGTGTTGGGTCTCACCGTCTAGTATTGTACACTGAGAATTTGTTAATAGATATGAGATGAGGATAAAACAAAACATAAATTAAACCAACCACAAAAATAAATAAATAAAAAAGGAAAATTAGATATTTCGCCATTGGTTTTCTTTCTGTTTATATTGCACTGTTATCATATATATGGACAACCACACTTATTTGGTGAGCCCCACACAATCACAACAACATTAATACTTTGTGAACGTCTGTATTTAATCATTTCATATAAGGCTGATCTTGCCAGAATACACATTTCTTCAATACTTTATGAAGAGATGAAGTGAAAAGGGCCACTAAACACCAAAATCAAATAAATGGGTCTAAAATAGAAATGTGTACCTATCCCTAACGGCCTCTTTAGGATCAACTATGGCCAGTACATTTTATCACGGCCCCCATTGTGCCGTGTTTGTATTAATTATTGTTCTATTTTGAGATGACCTGGATGCACAAGGGCCCAGCGTATCCAGCCGCCTATAAAGAGACCCGCCACTCCTCTGGCTCAACTCCACCTGGCCACGCCATCAGCCGATTGCCACAACGCACTTTAGCAATATTTGCACATATTTAATGTAACTCAGTAATAAATGCTCCAGCAGAGAGCTTAAACCATTGCCGTTTTCGTGTTTTCCCTTCTTTGGTCTCTCGAGCTGGGGCACTAACAATTTTAACTTTTGGGTTGGACTAACGGTCACCAATAAGTCAAATGCAGGGTTATTATGTGACAAGCCCACTTTGGAGGATTTTTCTTAGGTGGAGTAAAGCTTCGGGAGGGTGTTTAATTTCTCTTTAAATGGCCGTGACAAATAAGGGACATGCATGGTCCATCTAAAAAAAATTAAAAAAAAAAAAATACATCTATAGAATCAATGAGCCAAGCACCAAACTCTGCTATTCTGAGATGAGATATATTTGATTGTATTTATAAATCATAGGTGACCAAGAGCTTCTTCATTTCATGTGTCACTGAAAAAATTGCATGTTTGGCCAGGCTTGAGATGCAACAGAGGGCGTGGGGACCAGGCTGATATCAATCTTTATTAAAAAAATACAGACATTTTCCAGGCAAGGGCTGAACAATACAGCAATAAAAACATTAATTTGAGATCTGCTCCTGTGACGTTATGCTTTTTGATCATATTATCAAACTTTTTTTTAATGCAGATCTGTTCTCCAAAACAGATACTTTTCCAGACCCACTCCTGGCAGATAAAAAAAAAAAAAAAATCTGAATCTATTGCTAAATAAATAATCGTGGTATGAGTTATTCATTTTTCACCCCAAACTGAATATACGTTTTAACAAGCAGTTTCTTTTCAGTTCTGCATTCCTCATATCTGAATATCGAAAATAAAATAGTACAAAAATAAAAGTCAGCTCTAAAAAAAGATAGCATGATTTTTTCAAATGTATTTATTTATTTTTTAATTTTTTTGGTATATCGCCCCTAATTGAATATACTAACGTTTTAACAAGCAGTTCCTTTTCAATTCTGCATTCCTTATATCTGAATAAATGCATATTGAAAGTGAAATAATGAAAACAACAAAACAAAACAAAAATAACACAAATTTAATACAAAAATCTCTAAAATGGCACACACTAATCC